TCTCTCTCTCTCTCTCTCTCTCTCTCTCTCTCTCTCTCTCCTTTGGTTTCAATTGGTGGTGGTTTTGCAGGGGTGGAAGTTGCAGAGAGGTTTGCGTATAATGGGGCGTCGTCGAATATGATGACATATCTCACTCGCTACCTTCACCAGAGCACTGCCACAGCTGCTAAGAATGTCAACGTTTGGAATGGAGTCGCCACCATCATCCCGCTCCTCGGTGCCTTCATCGCCGACTCCTACATGGGTCGCTACCCCACCATCATCGTTTCGTCTTTCATCTATGTCATGGTCAGTCTCTTCTCTCTGTTTTTCTTTTACCTTGAAAAATATATACTGATAGTGAGTTTATTTCATAGTTGAAGATTGTATGCCTGATTCCCATAAGTTACCATTAAGCATCAAGAGAATTGTAGAGGATCACTTTCATGTATGTTGATATTAACCACAAAGAGTCTTAGTGGCAAATCTAACTATGATTAAACGCAATTTTTATATGTCCTACTTGGCCTATTTTCTAGTTTCTGATTCTTTAACATATGTTAAAATGATCTCTATCTTCTGTCAATCTTATGCAACAAAATGGCGCCCTGTTCGAGTGTAATTTCACTGAGATTGTATGTTTGAATGATTGATAACATTAGTATTAGCTTGATTACTACAAATAGGCTGACCAAATGTGCTTACTGACTTTAAAGCATCATAAATTCTTTAATTTGTTGCTTTCAATTGGCGATGCATTGTGACTCCATTATCTAAAACGCCATGAAGTCCTGTTTCTTGTGGCACCATGAAGCCACAACACCTCTTGGTAATTAAAAAAGAAGCAAATGAATAACAAATTTCTTTATGGTTGTAACTGAATATCAATTTTATGTATGGTGTTCTTGATTGTACTTATTCCAAGTCACCTTCTAGTGTTTTTCTTTTACTGTCATCACCTCCCTATTCTTCACTCCCATATCTTTGGGTTTTTTTAGTCCTTCTGGACAGAGTTTGAAATGCTCTTTATCCTATATATATCAACATTATCTTCTGTGCTTAATACAAGCGTTTAACAGTTTCCAAAATAAACATTATCTTTTGTGCTTGCCATTTTTCCATGCTGGAGTTGTGAGATCTAGTAAAGGTTCTTATTTTATAACATAAATCTGATTGGGTGCATAAGCACTGATTGATTTTGCATATGGAATATGTTCCTTTGATATTTCGCACTCATGCCTTATGTGGCCTCTATACACCTTTATCAATGGAATTCGTAATGGCTTCAAAACATTTATACTATACTTCTTTGAAAAATACTATGGTATGATTAAACATTCAGATTTCCTTTATCTTTTCCCATAAAACTGAATCCTTAAATTTTTTTTTTGAAATTGTAACTGAATCCTTAATATTAAAATCTCCATCCCTAATATCAAAAGCTTCATCCCTTGTCTTCTATACACAGTAAATTTGCAAACATGACTTAGTTTCTGAGATGATTAGAGATATTTTAATCAATCTGTCATCTATCTGCTGCAGAAATTTTATTTGCGCTTTACTTGCATATCCAATGTGTACTTCATGTACTAAAAGCAGATTTAAATAGCTTCTTGATGCTACTGCTGCCTCAAGAACTGCTTAAGCCCATGGACTAATGTTTTAACATCTTGCTGTTTCTTTTCTTTGTTCAACTTCAATATCACCCTTTAATGCAAATATTTTCAAATTCTCCATCAAGGAAGAAATTTCAAAGTTTATTATATAGGTTTCTTGAATTTACAAAACCAATACTCAACAACACATTCTACTGATTTAATTTCGCTGTGGGTTTGAAAAGCTTCATCATGGTCAATCATGATTCAGATTATTCTAAGTAAACCTAACGCATGATCTACATTTATATTTACTACCATCTAGCTTTAGTGTTCTTTTATATGTCATCTCCTGACGATAACCTTTTCCCTCTAGGCAGAGTTACTAATATCTCAACTTCTACTTATCATTATAGATTCAATTGTTTCATTCAGAGCACTAAATCTGTACTCCTTGGAACTGATGGCTATTTTCTATCATAAGGGTTTGAGCACATCCTCTGCACAGTGCAAACAATGCTATGCTATAGACCTAGCAACCATGGAACACTTTTATGACAAAAACTCCTTTTCGTTCAATAGCGTATTAGTTGTATGGTATTGCGAAGCCAGTATTCGTCTCTGGTGTTCTGATTTTCAATTTCTTATGAAAAATAAATTGATCTTTCGTCATTTAGCCAATATCTATTAACCTTGCATACAATGCTATGCTATAGACCTAGCAACCATGGAACACTTTTATGACAAAAACTCCTTTTCGTTCAATAGCGTATTAGTTGTATGGTATTGCGAAGCCAGTATTCGTCTCTGGTGTTCTGATTTTCAATTTCTTATGGAAAATAAATTGATATTTCGTCATTTAGCCAATATCAATTAACCTTGAGTTAATGTTTGTCAACACCATTTGGTTTTTCAATGAAGTGCATGTCTCTAGATTTCAAAAGTAATCTACTATTGTGATCAAAGAAACCCCTTAGTTATCTGAATACCATAAAAATGTGCTTTTCAGATTTGCTTTGTAACTTTGATATTTCATGGTTTAGGATGAGATAATGAACAGGGCCATCCAAACTCTCAAATAGTCAAGTTTAATAGTCATTTGGCATGTTCTTCACTAACAATGAGAGAATCTGGTTATGTAAATGACCCGGTCATGAAAAAATATTGAAAATAGTTTGCATTACTTGTCATGGAGTTTTATTTTATTTTTTCTTTTGTTGGGTTCTATTGCACCTATTACGTCAATGACCTTATTTATGTTATTAGTTTTATAAAATAATTCTGTACAATGTTCCTTATGAGTTTTAATTTTCATTCGTGAGGATAATTATTTGCTGTAGATACTAAGGATGTGAATCCAATGGGTTTTTCTGATGGCCTGAGAGTTGCAGGGCTTGTCTATGCTTACATTATCAGCCATTCTTCCTTCCCTCCGTCCACCAGTGTCCTGTGTCTACAATGGAGGGAGATTTTTCTGCCATTTGCCGTCTGCAGGGCAAGCGGGCTTCTTCTTCACTGCAATATACATGGTGGCACTGGGCCAAGGGGGTCACAAACCCTGTGTTCAAGCATTTGGGGCCGACCAATTCGATGAGGACAATCAAGAGGAGAGAATGTGGAAGCAGTCCTTTTTCAATTGGTGGTACTTTGGGATATCAAATGGGAGTCTTTTGGCAGTTTCAGTGATGATGTTTGTGCAAGATAACATTGGTTGGGGATGGGGTTTTGGCATACCTGCAGTGGCCATGGCAGCTGGACTTTTGGTTTTTCTAGCAGGTAGGAAGAAGTACAGGCTAAAACAGGTGGGTTTAAGCCCCATGACTGAGATTGCACAGGTGTTTGTTGCAGCTGTGAGAAAGCGTAATGTGTCATATTTGGGTGAGACAGAGTCCGAGATATTTTGGGCATCTGGGTCTGCTCTGCCTGGGCCTCTCCGCGCTCGTGGCGACCAATTCAGGTAACCTTGCTTACTTTTTGAAATGAGTCGCTCTCTCATACGCACACTTGCAGGAGTACTTACATGGAAATGTCCAAAAGTTCTTTTAAGCACAATATTTCTTTGCATTTTTTTGATATTTCATTTTGGTTCTAGAGTAGGGTTTTATTATTTTTATTATTTGCATTCTCTTGCAAATTTACTTATAAGATAGGTCAACCATATATTATTACATTTAAACACGCCTGTTATTCATGGCTCCTTTTAGTTTGTAAACCTAAAATTGCAGAAATATTGCTCTCTCTCTCTCTCTCTCCT